ATCAAACCTCTACTGCTCTTGTAGAATTCGATACCAAGGAAATATGAAATCTCACCCAAATCAGACATTTCGAATTCCTTGCTGAGATCACCTTTGAAGTCTTCGATCTCACTTTTACAGCTACCTGTTATCAACAAATCATCTACATAGAGACATAGTATAAGCAATTTACTCTTGCTTCTTCTTACATATACTCCATGTTCAGTTATGCACTTCACAAATTCCTTCTCCCTTAGAAAACTATCAATTTTCTTATTCCAAACCCTTGGAGCTTGTTTCAATCCATACAGGGCTTTATGTAGCCTGTACACCTTTCTTTCTTCGTCATGTTTCACAAATCCAACTGGTTGTTTAACATAGACTTCTTCATCTAAGGGTCTATTTAGGAATGCACACTTCACGTTCATCTGACATATGTGCCAACTGTTTATTTCTGCTAGACCAACAACCAACCTGATTGTTTCGATCCTAGCAACAGGTGCAAAAACTTCGTCGAAGTCTATTCCTTCTTTCTGTAGAAATCCTTTCGCCATAAGTCTTGCTTTGTGTCGAGTTACTTCACCTTTTGAATTCGTTTTTACTTTGTATACCCACTTGACATCAATTGCCTTCTTACCTTGAGGCAATTCGACAAGTGACCAAGTGTTGTTGTCTTCGATAGACTTTACTTCTTCGTTCATTGCTTTCACCCACTTTGAATCTTTTAATGCTTCAGCTTCATTAACAGGTTCGACATCTGCATAGAAAGCATAATGTACCAGCTCACCTTCATTATCTATTACATCATCTGATGTAATCACACAATCTTGCAATCTTGCAGGCATGCGTCTTATTCTTTGAGGTCTGCTTGTACTTGGTATATCTGTTGGTTCCTCTTGTCGAACTTCTCTTTCGACTTGAGTTTCTGGCTCTTCGAATAGGATTCTCACTGAATCTTTCTTAACATTTGCAGTCCAATCCCATTCTTTAAACTCATCTATGATCACGTCCCTGCTGATCACAATCTTCTTGTTCTCTGGATCGAACAACTTGTAGCCTCATGTCGAATGATACCCAACTAAGATCATTTGAATTGACTTGTCATCAAGTTTTCTTCTCAACTGATCTGGCACATGTCTATGTGCAATAGATCCAAATACCTTCAGATGACTCAAGCTAGGCTTCACACAAACCAACATTCTTCTGGAGTAATTCCTTCTAGCTTCTTTGTAGGACATCTGTTCAAAATGTATGTTGCAGTCGAAACAGCTTCACCCCAAAACTCTTTAGGTAAACTCTTGTCTTTCAACATACTTCTCACCATATTCATGATGGTTCGATTTTTCCTTTCTGCAATTCCATTTTGCTGTGGAGTATAGGGTGGCACCACCTCATGCATAATCCCTTCCTTTTCACATAATCTGTCGAAGTCTTTCGACACATATTCTCCTCCATCATCAGTTCTCAAAACTTTGAGCTTTCGACCACTTTGTCTTTCGACCATAGACTTAAACCTGGTAAATACTTCGATCACTTCACTTTTCTTCTTGATCAGGTAAGTCCATAACTTTCGACTGAAATCATCTATGAATGTAACAAAGTATTTGTTACCTCCCATCGAATCCACCTGGATTGGTCCACATACATCAGAGTATATGACTTCAAGACTAGCCTTCAATCTGCTTCCTGTATCCTTGCTGAAGTTATTCTTGTGTTGCTTCGCCTGCACACATTCCTCACATACCTCGTTTGGAATGTCAATTTCTGGCAATCCTGAAACCATATTTCTTCTCTTCAAATCTCTGATGTCTCTGAAGTTGAGATGACCTAGTCTATAATGTCATATCCATTCATCTCTGCTAGCTGCAGTCGAAAGGCACTTGTGCTCCATCACATTTAGTTCAATCTTGAAGGTTCGATTCTGAGACATAGGAGCCTTCAAGATTACTCTCCCATTTGCATCAACGACTCTCATCAACTTATCTTCGATTGACACTTTATAATTCTTTTCGACCAACTGCCTTATACTGAGCAAATTTCTCTTCATGCCTGGTATGTACAACACATTGGAGATTACTGACCTTTTGCCATCTTTCCTCATAATCATAACATCACCAATACCTTCAGCTGCCAAGGTATTGTCATTTGCAAATTTTACCATATTTTTCTTTGAGGGCTTTATATTGACAAACCAGTCTTTCCTTCCAGACATATGTGATGAACATCCTGAATCCAAGTACCATTGATCCTTGAATCTATCTTCATCTCTTGTTGTGACCATCAGCATCATCTCTTCTTCTTCATGTTTTGCAAGCTTTGCATCACTTTCTTGATTCTTTCGTTTTTCTGGACAATCACTCGAATAGTGTCCATATTTCTGACAATTGTAACATTGAATGTGACTCTTATCAGGTTTTCGACCACCACCTCTTCCTCTATTTGCAACACCACCTCTTTGGTTTCCTTGGTATGGTCTTCTTTGATTCGACACGTCTCCTTCAATTTGGTTTCCTCTACCATTCGATTTGTTGTAGCCACCTCTACCTCTGTCGAAACACTTTCCTTTGCCTTTGGTCTCTTTTGCTGAATGTGCCTGCAAGGCCACATCACTCTTCGATTTTCCTGCAGCTCTTTCGTTCATTCTTTGTTCATGAGATTCAAGTGTCCCTTGAAGCTCTTCCTTTGTCAATTTCGACAAGTCTTTCCCCTCTTCTATCGCCACCACTATGTGGTCGAACTTAGGAGCTAAAGATCTCAAGATCTTCGACACAATAGCTCTTGTTGTTAACGCTTCTCCACATACCTTGATTTGATTTACTAGTTTTGTAACTCTAGTGAAGAAATCAGATATGTTTTCACTGTCTTCCATCTGAAGCAGTTCATAGGTCCTTTTGTGAGTTTGTACCTCACTTCTTTCACCTTCTCAGCGCCTCCAAAAGACTTCTCAAGGATCTCCCAAGCTTCTTTTGCAGATTCTGAATCACTAACCTTTTCGAAATTGTCTGGGCTGACACATTGATGAATTATAAATAATGCTTTATAACTCAGCTTCTCAGATTCTGTGTATTTCTTCTTTTCTTCTTCTGAAGCGTTTTCGTCAAGCGCTTCGACTCCATCTTTTACAAGGTCCCAAAGACCTTGACACCTGAATAAGACTTTCATCTGTTTGCACCAATTCTCATAGTTGTCAACTTTCAGAATTGGTAGCATTGCTGGATAGTTTGCATTCCCATAACTTGTCATCGTGAATTCTTCAATCGTTCTTGATTGACACTTCCCTTGAATCGAAACAAAAGCTCTTGATACCAGATGTTGGAAATCCACCAAATTCTATGATGAATTTCTACCACAATGACAATTTAATTATGAGACAAACAAAGAAAAGAAGATAAGACAAATATTTCTGCAGAGTTTCTCTCTGCCCACAAACTATGGAAAACTTTCTTATTCACTTTGCAACTGCAAAATACTGTGAATGACTTGCTTGACTTGCTTTGAAAAATAGGGGTTACTCCCTCTATTTATAACTGAGCTTACACCCTAAGCCCAGAGCCCAAAATATTTTTTTGTTACTAAATCAAATCTATTCTAGACTTAAATCAAATCTATTTAAATCTAAAACAAATCAAATCTCTTTTGACACTATGAATTACAATTTAACAGTATCCGTAGACTTACACTACTCCACCTTCACTTTTTTGCATGACGAGTTAAGATTTTATATCCACATCCTCAACCATACTCACTTTGTTTAGCCTATTTTTTATATGTTTTCAGAAAATAAATCTAAACGGGACTACTCCACCTTCACTTTTTTGTATGACGAGTTAAGATTTTATAACCACATCCTCAACCATACTTACTTTGTTTAGCCTATTTTTTATATGTTTTCAGAAAATAAATCTAAACGGGGCAGACACATGTACGGTTATCACTCCTTTTAGAGTGTCATATAAATGGGTCATATTTATTGTAAAATTGTACTTGTGAAAAACTTAATTTAAAACTTTTATTTTCTCCCTAATACTTTTACTTATTACGTAGTATTGATGTACTCTGGACTACTATAAATACTTTAATTATAAATTATGGTATTAGAAATTGGCTTGGAAATATTTAATATAAGTAATGTTAATTAAAATGTATATTTATTAGGAAGAAAGACACTTATAATTATCTTGAAACGTCAATTGATCATTTCACAAAAGAATAATAAATAAAAGAGAATATTACGATTAGTGTCTTCAAATTAAGTGAGAAAATAATAAATTAAAAATTAGCATTAATCTTTTAGAATTCATTTAGTTTTTACCTAATTATCTAAGGAATTATAACAGAGATTCTACTAATTTTATCATAATCAAACCATAAAATAAAATGTAAAGAGAGAATATTAAAATAAATAATTATACTGAATTGGTGAGGGGGTGGGTAGGGAGGCCCGCACGTGTGAGTTCTGCAAAGTAACAGCGTCAACACACGACCAGCCTATAACCCCTCCAAAAATTATTGCATCACAATGATAGATGCAGCAAACAGCTCCCACTGTTTGCTTTGTTTTCCTTACTCATTAGTTTAAGGCAACTTTTACTGATGCTAAATGTTTTATATTTATAACCTTGGTGCTATGTAATGTAACTACACCCAGCCGATGTGGGACTATAATAACTGTTACACAAATATACCATGAGAACATCAGGTTTTATACAAAACAAAGTAAATACAATTGTCTAAAACTTTCAATAAATTAAGTTGGAATATCATTTTTTATTATGCAGCAATCTTCTGCCTAATAACACTAGTTACAAGACCAAATTCATATTCTAAACATACATCATCAATCATCTCCACTCACTAGCCAAATGAACAAAGAAAGTCCCTTAATCAGGGAAGATACAATTGGAAATAATTTCCTAGTAACAAACTTCAATCTAGATCTGAACTAGCTTCCTATAATATATGCATGCCTCTGTGTACATATTTTATTATAATGATACACCCCTTCATAAACATAGCTGCTTCTATTCTGCCATAATACTAGTCTCAGATGCAACTGCAAGTGATGGGATACTTTGTTCATATCTGAAAAAATTGTTTGGATCAATTGCAGTTTTCACCTCTACAAGCCTATCAAAGTTTCTTTTGAAATACTTCTTACCCCAAATACTTGCTTCTTCATAACCAACATCCCCATCTCCATTGACACCTAAATCAACATCTCTGTAGTTTAAATATGAGCTTCTAGGTGACTTGGACACATATGGAGTCATGTAATCATAGAGCTTTCGAATCCGATCTAAATACTGATTCACAACATCATTACCTTCTTCTTTCCAACTTACCGAGTACTGAATTTTATATATGTTACCAGCTCTATGTGGGAACGGTGTTTCCACCTCCGAAATCTCACTCATTTTCCCACCATAAGGATTGAATGTAAGTGAAACCTTTCCTAGTTCCATCATCTTCTTCCATATACCATCAAGATCAATTTCAGAAATCGGCTTCTGCACGTAATCTGATTTCCTCTTCAAGAACTTCTCTTGTGATGAATGTCTTTCGAGCAAAACATCAGTCGAAGTCCCCACCGGATAGTTATACCAAAACAACACAGAATCAATCCAACTCATTTCAATACACTGTTCACCAACCAAACCCAATTCAGGAAATCCCTCACTCATTACATCAAGCAACTCACCTGCATTACCAAGAAACAAAGCATTGAACTTAGCCTTAACAGTTTTCTTACCTTTTCTCTTTGCAGGACTAATCACAACTCTAATAAACAATCCATCATGCATCTTATCAGCAACATATTGCCACCGATGAACAACATCACCACCCCCTTGTTCCAATGTTTTCTCAACTCTAAAAACAGTAACAATCTCAGGCACAGAAACCAACTTAATCTTCCAAGAAACAATAACACCAAAACTCGCTCCACCACCGCCTCTAATAGCCCAAAAAAGATCTTCCCCCATAGATTCCCTATCAAGTAATCTTCCATTAACATCCACAATTTCCGCATCCAAAATATTATCAACAGACAACCCAAATCTCCTCATCATGTTACCATATCCACCACCACTAAAATGACCACCAACACCAACAGTCGGACAAACCCCAGCAGGAAAGCCATGAACTTTACTCTTCTCAGCAATCCTATAATAAACCTCACCAACTGTTGCTCCAGATTCAACCCACAAAGTTTCATCTCTTAAGTCAACAACCACTGATCTAAGCAAGAACATATCAAGAACAACGAAAGACGAATCCGAAACATATGAAAGACCATCATAGTCATGACCACCGCTTCTTATTCTGATTTCTAGGTTAAATTTCTTGCAGCACAAGATTGATGCTTGGATGTGGGAAACATGAGATGGGGTGAGGATGAAAAATGGTTTAGGAGTAGTGGATGTGTTGAATCTAAGGTTTCTGATGTAGGAGTTTAAGATGAGTGAATATGAAGGGTTGTTAGGGAAATAGATGAGTTCAGAGATTGGATGAGAAGGTTGTGAATAGAGAGAAAGACATTGGAGAAGGGTGTTAGAATCTGAGACAGACATTGGTACTAGAATTAGGATGTTGAATAGAAAGAATGGTAGAATTGTCGGCATGTTAATGGGAAAAAAAATGATTGAGATTTGAGAGAAGAGAGTTCTTGAGAAACAAGGAAATCTTGTTGTTTCAACTGTTCACTACTTCAAATCCTATTTCTACTCTGAATCCTATCGTTTAGGCGAGAATTTGAGAGACATTCAATACCTTTTCGCTAAAAAAATATAACAATAACTACTGTTGCTTCGTCTATCTCATTAATATAATCTTTATAATTTTCTTTCACTATTATACTTCTATTATTAATTTTCAAATTTTTTAATAACTCTACTAATTATAATAAATAAGAAGTATTTTAATAAATAATATTAATTTTATTATTAAAATTAATATATTTAATCATTTTTTTAATAATCGCACATAACTCAAGTATGACATTTATTATTTAACCGAGAGAGTAAGAAATATTTAATTCTAATTCTATTTTTAGAGAATTCAAAAAATAAAATATTAATAAATACTATTCAAAGTGCTAAAAATATACAAGATAAAACAAATTAATCTTATAAATATAAAACTTCAACTAAAGTGAACTTCAATCACAAAGAAGGCATTTTTTTTAAAATAACCAATATTTACGAGTTAATTTTTCAAATAAAAAACATTTTCATCTATATATCAAATGAATAATGTTATATATTAAGAATGTGTCATACCCCAATTTTTGACTTAAGATCCCATTTTTATTTTTGCATTTTTATACAGAAGTCAAGGTCACGAAATACGATCGGTTTTAACCTCTCACCTTCGAGCATTGACTATGTAGAAATTGTCAAGTATTTTGAACATTCTTAGCCTATGTATCACTAACTTCTAATCAAGCACGAAGTGTGTGTCTTTTGTTTCTTTGATTTCCTTTGCAGGAAATGGATCTGAATCAAGAGCACCAGGCGTCACGCCTCAATTAGGGTTTTGAGTCTATTGTACTCTAAAAATTTGCCCTCTCATTTCTCAAGGAATCACCTTGGACCCCAAGTTTGCTTCCATCTATTTCCAAGCCTTGAATTATCAATTTTCAAAGAAAAACATCCGCAAGAGCAAAATGGTCAAAAGCACACTGAAAAGTCAAACTTTGACTTTCAGATCAAATCAAGTTTCAACAATTTTATTTCATCAAGACATGAGATTGGCTCATCAAAAAAATCAGGAGTCAGAAGTTACTTTGAAAAAAATCAAAATTTCTAAATATTTAGAAAATTTTCTAAGTGTTAAGAGTATGTGATATTTCAGAACTTCTGAGCCAGCCTTCATGCAAGTGCAGTCAGAAGTTGCAAATTTGATTCAGAACATAGCCTTCAATCAGAACATGGCTCTTCAGCCTCCATGCAAGTGCGGTCAGAAGTTGTAAATTTGGTTCAGAACATAGCCTTCAATCAGAATATGGCTCTTCAGCCTCCATGCAAGTGCAGTCAGAAGTTGCAAACGTGGTTCAGAACACAATCTTCCATCAGAACGTGACTCTTCAGCACATAGAGGTTACGCTTCTAATCTTCTGTGATCAGAACATCACCAAATCCCAAAACCTCGTTTAAGTAACCTGTTGCCCTACTACATTATAGTGTTGCAGTCAGCTGCTGACCCAGTCCACGCCTGCACTTTCTCAAACCCCATATTTGCATCAAATTGGCATATGAACATTGTGATTAAAAAAAGCATTGGAACAGTATACCAAAAAGGTTTGAATCCCGTTTGTTTTTCCCCCCAAAACTACAACAAGCCCATCTATAAATACTTGGCTCCATCACACGTTCAAGGGGTTGGCTTTTGGAAGAGAGATTGGTAAAAAGGGAGAGAAAAGAAAGTTGAAACCTTCATAAAAAAATCCAGAAATCCTAAACAGAAAACCAAACCTTTGTTCTTCCTTTTGAATCAAAGAGCTTGGAACTTCCTCTTTCGTTACTCTTGTTGATTCCAGAACATCCAAAGGTAGCAGCTCAAAACTCCAAGCCCACGTTCCAGGTTCAAGGTAAGTATTTCTGACTTTGCATCTTTTTCATTCAGAACATCATTAAACATGTAAATATCATAGTATTGATGTTGTTCATATCTTTGCATAAGTAGAAAAACTGTGGATCAGAGTTTCTTGATTAGGGCTAGACTCAGATTTAGCATTAGAACTTCTATAAGTTGTTGTGATGTTATCCTTCTGATTTGTTGTTTAATAAGAACTGAATGAATTACTGGCGTGTTGATTAAAAGTCAAAATGTAACACAGAACTTTTGTTTTTCACTCATCATTTTAACACACAGAACTTCTAGGATTTTCTCACTGTTTAAGCACGCAAAACTTCTAAGTTCTCTTCACTGTTTTAACACACAAAACTTCTATGATTTTTTTTCATTGTTAACACGCACTGAACTTCTGATTTTTACATGCTGATAATGCACTGAACTGCTGATGTTCACTCACTGGCTCAGCACAATACAAAACTTTTGATGATTCACTCACTGTTCTAACACAACACAGAACTTTTGAGTTCTCCTTACATGTCAAATACACAGAACTTATGATGTTTCCACTCGCTGTTTTCAAACACTCAGAGTTTCTAATTTTCACATGCTGACAATACACTAAACTTCTGAAGTTTACTTACTGTTTTAGTGTAATACATAACTTTTGACTTGTGGTCCACTGTCTGAATACCAACCAGAATCTCTGTGTTTTCCCTCTGACATTCCTTGCAGGACCTCAGAATGTACCAACTCAGAACTTCTGATTCCACTGACGTTCCTTTATGAATCATCACGCGTCTGGCTTCAGAACTTCTGATCCTTGTTTCCTTGCTTGCAGTAATATGCTGTTTCTATCTTTCATTTATTTTTCTTTTCATCATTTTTAATATTAACATAAAAAGACATAAAAATATTTTCCTTTTAATTTATTCTTTTTTTTTAATTCATTAAGACAAAAAACTCAATCTTCAAAATCTCGTCCACACCTATTTTTAGCCAAACAAACCATTTTAATCAAACAAATAATTTTAAAAAATAGATATTTCAAAAGGTTTATGTGGAGTACCACAGATGCATTGGGTGCTAATACCTTCCCATTGCATAACCAACCCCCGAACTCTAGATCTCTTTCAAAAATGCATTGTATTTTCATTACTTTTAAGTATTATTTTACATTGCATATTTTAGGGTTTTATTTCTCTCTTTTCCCTTTTCCCTTGGAAATAATAAAGCGTGGCGGCGACTCTTTCTATTTGCGAGTCAAGTTAATTAATAGCTTGATCTCTGATTTTCACCGATACAGAATTGGCGACTCTGTTGGGGACAGATTGACCTCTTGCTGGTCTATCCCTAAGTGGGTTAAGCCTAATTTGTCATATTTGTTTTTTATTTATTATTACTTGTTTGTTTGATTATATGTGATATATTATGGTTATTTGGGTGTTGATGATATTCACAAAGGACAAGTCCTATACCCGGACTAAGTTACACTTAGGAATAGGACGGGCGGCATAGTCATGTTAACTTTGAGGGAGTAATCCCGAAGAAGGAGGCATGAAATCCCTCACTCATTGGAAGCCCCTTTGACTGTAGTATTCGTTTACCGAGTAATCGAGAAGACGTTATTGCTTTTGACCTGGGAGCCAGAGAAGCTGATAACCGTAGAACCCTTAGCCCATCTTGGCCTCTTAGGTGTAGCACGGAGACTATAATAGAGTAATCCTAAAGTAGTTGTCACGCGATGCTGCACTCAGACGAGTTTCTCTTGAGAATATTACTAATTACCGAGTAATCGGGATGTTGGTAATATCTGAAGGAGGAATGTAGACTCTGGGAACTTTTAGAACCTTGTTTTATAGGTGTGATTAAACCTTTAGTACATACCTTGGGTATGGTCTTTACCTTTGACTCCATGCTCGTGACGTTGAACCTTTCGACTTTGTTTATGACCTTGCTTGTGGTTGTTGCATATCCATGCCTTCATGCATCCATGAAACCCTTTTCACTTGTTTTTTCAAGGAATTCGGAGGTATTTCTTTGTAAAACATCATAAGTTTCGTCAAACTCAATGGATCTTGGGTGTTAATAGGGTGAAGAACCCTAATCCACCAAAATGGATGATTGATCTTGATGATAAATTGATCAACACTCTGATCCAATTCAGAATTCAGTTTCTATCTTCATACTTTGATGTTTACAACTTAATATCTTGAGTTCCTTGAAAGTCAAATAAAAACTCTCCTTTTCATATCATGCATCATTCTACATTTTTTGTTTCACTTTCAAAGGTCATTTCCAAGTATTATTTTTTCCTTTGGTCTAACCCGTACAACACTCGCGCTAGGAGAACAATGGAGAATATCAAGCAAGAGGTTTTTTGAACTCCATAGAGAGGTGACTAATTTGAAAGCTAGTACATATCACTTAATTGTTTTGGTTGAAATTTTGGTTGGCGCCCAAGTCAATCCTTCTAGGAAGGAAGAAGCGGTGGTAAAAGTCTTCACTGAAACTCTAAATTCTTTCATGAGAAGGTGATGGTTAATGCACCTAATGACTTTTCTGACAAGGTGAATGTGGGAGTGTGTCTAGAAGAAGATGTCCGAAAGGGATGTTTATATGAAGATGGTAGCTCAGCTAGTGGTGTGAAGAAGTTTGATAATAAATTTCTAAGAAGAGAGTTAGAGGAAGAAATAATCATCGCCCGAATCATCATGTTCCTCCTATCATCCCTGCATTCAATTTACCTTCTGCAGCTTCAGTTCATCAACAAAATCAGCAAGTTCCTAATCATAGGAAATCTCAGTTTGATCTAATTCCAACAACCTATACAAAGTTATTTCCTGTCCTGATGCAGAGGAATTTGGTCCAGACCCGACCTCCACCGAAGGTTCCTGAGAAGATGCATTGGTACTACAAAGCTGATTTGACTTGTGCCTTTCATCAAGGTGCTCCTGGGTATGATGGTTGCTTTGCTTTGAAGATTGAGGTTCAGAAATGGTATCTTGTCATTTAAGGATATTAGTATTGAGGTTCAAGTCAAATCTTT